CGAGCGTTCTGGCAGTGTACACTCTTAACTGGGCCCCTAAGATAGCGTATATTCTCGTCTTAACAAGCGGATGAGCGTGCACTCTCTATTAGGCCCACATACGAGCATACATTTATGGTTAGGGCCATACTCCGATGATCAACTTTCTAGATGAAGTGTTCATTCTCGGTTAAGCCCGTAAAGAGTATCATCCACTTCACATCGGAGTAGGTAACACGACTTACGGAAAGAAGTAATCACTCAATCCGGCTTAAGTTCAATCGCCAGCCAGCAAGTAATTTGTTCGCCTGCTAGGAATGTACCACTTGCACCGTAGCCGGGACATAGACAAGCCGAACACATGGAAGAACAACCTAGACCAATAGGTCATAACCAGAGGCAGCCAAGAGCTCCGCTACCCAGACAAAGGCAAATTCAGGAAGAAGTAGAGAGGCTTATGGCTGAGCAATTGCGCGATTTTCAACGCAACGATATCACTGATGAGGCACTACGACGGAACATGAACAACATAAACAAGTTACCTTTCACTGACAATATTAAGCAGACAGAACCATCCCACATATATTGGAGGATACAATGATTACTTTTGTTCTGATAAACTTAGCAACTCAGCCTAATAGCTCACCATGGGTAGATAGGTACCAAAATAACACACTGGCCTAACCACCAAGAACCAGGGGCATGTCTTGTTTTCATCACAACTCCGCGCTCAAAGTCGTGCTTACCTGTTCCACGGCCCCCGTCCACCATTGATCTATCATCATGGCTCCTAATCGTGCCGATCTTGCACTATGGCTCCCAATCGTGCCACTTTGCGGCTTATATCTACGTTGACCAAGCCCACGACACTTCAAACTTCAAAGCATCCACCACAGAGTAGAATAAGAGACCTTACTAGTAGCCTTTGCTAGCGAAAGACTTAGTGGTGGAGAAGCTTGCAATCCATTCAGATTTTCAACTGACCACCAACCAAGCCTCAGAACACACGATGAAACATCTAAGAATGGTGCAATACTTGGAGAAGGTCCAAGAATAGCTTACTGTGCTTCCTATTAACACCCTTACACGATTTCGACAAGTAGTTCGAAGTCTCAAGTAGATTGCCAAACAAGCCTTCACAAGCTAAGGATTATTTCAGTTGTCCACCTTTCCTCAGGTGCGCTCACGGCAATAACTTCCATGCTCTTCAGTGCGAAAGGGTAAACTAATTGCTCTCCAATGCGAGAGGGTAAACCAATTCCCTGACACCCATATGGGTTTGCTCTCCAGTGCAAGAGGGTAAACTAATTGCTCTTCAGTGCGAAAGGGTAAACTAATTCTCAGACACCCATTTGGGTCTACTCTCTAGTCTGAGATGATAAACTAATTACTTTACAGTGCGAGAGGGTAAACTAATTCCTCGACACCCATTTGGGTCAGCTTTCTAGTGAGAGATGACACCCATATGGGTCTACTCTCTAGTGTGAGAGGTTAAACTAATTGTTCTCTGGTGCGAGAGGGTAAACTAATTGCTCTCCAGTGCAAGATAGCAAACTAATTCCCCGACACCCATTTGGGTAAGCTCTCTAGTGCGAGAGGAAAACCCAATTCCCCAACACCCATCTAGGCCACACAACTCAAATGATCGAATACTTGAATACTAGCTAAGCAGCAAGTGGTCAAGGGGCATCAGCAGATAACAAACTCAATAGCTCGACGCCTCAAGAAGCCAAGACTCACGGCCATAATGGCTCTATGGGATCGTCAGCCTTTTTTGAAGCAACGTGCTCAACCGATGGTTTTATGGCTAAAAGTTTTACAAGACGCTTTAAGAACGCAAAGTTTCAAGAAAAACAAATATGGAGTAAAACGAAAGCAGTTTATTAAATTTAAAATTGATAAACTTATATGAAGGTCGTCGAAATCCGACACAAGCTAAACAGAGCAAACTACTCATTTAGCAGCTTGGATGACCTTGGGCTCTCCAGCAGCCATCATGCCTTCAACAGCCACTTCGCACTAAGTAGTTTGCTAACCCTACACCACCATCTTTGGTTACTCCACTTACAGTAGCTGAGAAATCACACTTAAGCAGTTTCTTCATTCTTGACAAATAGCACAAATGTGGCAGCCCAAATCATGGCCTTTGCCACACCACTTCCTTGGCCCATGCAGAGCCAGCCCTTGTCTCCAGCCAAACCGAGTAGCCCAAGTCGTGGCCCTTGACACGCCACCTTATTAGCCTATGTCGAGCTGACTCCTGGCCCCTGCCAGCCGACGTGCTGCACCACCCTGACGGCTGCCCATAACAGCGCCACCAAAGAAGAAGACAAAGAAAATTAAATTTTTCTTACCTTGGTACAGCGCGGAGAAGACAAATAAATCAATGGAAGACAGCTCTTTGCATGAGCAAGCGAAGAAGAATGCTAGAGGAGGGGGGACAAATATCTTTTAGCTTTCTCTCTTTCTTGTAGGGATAAATAATTGTCCTCCAAAGTTGATTTAATCCCCTACTTAAGGTAGGCTTAAAAAGGCTTTGGAGGCGATTTATTTCCCTTTCCTAGAAGAATCTAATTCCAAGTCCAAGTAGGAATTTGCATCAAAGTTGGAGATCTCTACATCTGCTGCCCTTTCCTGCGAGCATCCTAGCAGGTGTGGGGGCATTTATGGAGTAAAAAATAATCAAGAAAATTATAGAGGTGACACATGGGCTTTTGGGTTAAAAGGACAAAATTACCGTTGAGGCACACCGGGATTCCCACACACATGCAATGGACAATAACGGCTCAATCAAGGAAGAGTCAAAGGTGATCAAAATGATATTTATTCAAACCCCTCTCATCACTCCTCATCAAATCCTTATTCAAAAGGTAACTCCCAAAACTTCCTATTTAATTTTGGATTAATTACCTTGTTAATTGCAAGATATTATTTCACATAATATCTTGCAATTATTCTCCCATTACACCATATAGGGTCGGCCACTCCCCTATAAATAGCCTTATTATCCTACTAAAAAGGGAAGCCATTTGCTACCTACAAACTCTTAAACACATTTTTTTTCTTCAGAATTCTAACTTCGGCATCGGAGATTCATCATGGGTGCGTGAGACTTTTGGCCTTAATCTTAGGTGTTATTATTTTGCAGGTGCATTTTCGTCAAAGGAGAAGATGACAGAAATTTGCATCCACAGATTTCATGACCAACTGCACTCATTAGTCTTCCCTTCCAGCCATGGAGACGTTTCCAAATATGCTCATGTATATGACTAAAGCAAGCCCCTTTGTTACGACCAACCAAGGTAGGAAAACCCAAATATTGTTCGTGCCTATCAACCCATTGCACACCCAAACCATTGCTCAAAAGGAACTGATCAAGTGACTTGACGTTCCAACTAAAACACACAACATTCTTTTGGTAATTAACCAGCTCGCCATAAGCTATTTCATAGCAATGCAGTACATCCATGATTTGTTCGCAATCCTTGGTAAAGCCTTGGCGAAAAGAAGGCTATCATCGGCAAAAAAAGGTGGCTGATGTTGGAGCACCTTGGCAGATATTGACCATGTGTAAACACCCATCAGCAACACACTTAGACAACATGGCCAATAAACCTTGGCACAAAGCAAGAAGAGATAAGGGAGCTTGGGTCGCCTTAACGAAGCCCCTGTTTTGGATGGATGTAGCCCCGCGGCGAACCATTGATCATAATAGAATATGATATGGTCGAGACACACACCATGAGTAGATCAACCCATCTATGAGGAAAACCCAAAGTTTCCAAAACTCCCATTAAGGAACACCATTCCACACAGTCATAGGCCTTACTCATGTCCAATTTGATAGCCATAAAGCCTTTTTTCCCTGTTTTCTCTTGAAGAGGAAATAAGCAACCTTAGAAGCCAAGGTTGTGTTATCAGAAATGAGCCGTCCAGGGATAAAGCGCTCTGCTGATAAAAAACGAGGTGGGAATGATTAGTTTCAAACGATTGGTCAAAACCTTGGATGTGATCTTGTAAACTACGTTGCACAAACTGATAGGGTGGAGGTGAGCCATCTCGGTTGGTTTCTTTTTGCTTAGGGATTAAAGCCATATAAGTGTAATTAATCTTCTTTAGCATTCTACCCAAGCCCAGAAATGAAAGAACAACTGAGAAAATATCTGGGCGGACGATACCCCAGAATTTTTTGAAGAACAGGGGAGGAATACCATCCTTATATGAGTTGTCTTGTCAAGAGAATGCACCCGTTACACTTGAGTTTTTCTCACTCAATTGACCGAAATAAAGGATGAGGATCCTTTTTTGTGAGGATCCCTAGGATCCTCACATCCTATATGTTCATCGTACATCGTGTGATCAACTTTCGTTGGGTACTATTTGTGTTTAATTTAAAATAAAAAATTCAAAATGATTTATGGCCGCACAACGTACGATGAATGGATAGGATGTGAGGATCCTCACAAAGAGGGTCCGGATGGGATCCAAATCCAATAAAAAGCAAATAGATCATCAACATCAACAACTATACATGTAAAGGGGAATTCAAGACATCTACAAACATAAATTCAAGACCACATATACAAACCTAAAGCTAGCCACCGCCACATGTAACGGCATAGCAAAAAGCAAAATTCTAGTACTCATTTGAAAGTTTTTTTAAAATGACTGAAAGCGTTTTTAATAAAAATGCTTTTAGAATTAATCATTAATAAAAACGCAAGTGAATCCTGAAAGAAACACATACTTCAAGTACTTTTGAAACCCAAAATCATTTTCTCTAAAAGCTATGCCAGTCATTTTAAAAGTATTTTCAAAATGAACCCGTTGCTGAACTGAAAATGTGATCAGGTAAATATGGTTAGAAAATATAATCCATTCGTTACTCTTTTGAGTTCTCGACATATATATGGACCCAAAGAGGAAAAAAATTTCTTTGATGCATGACAGAATGTGACAATAGCTACAACATGTAACGTTAGAAGGTACCTGGTAGAAATGAAAAAGAATATGAACAACAATTTAAACGTCGGCTAAAAAAAAAGGACCTTATTGGGGAAAACTATTGATTCACTTGTATGTTACAACATTCACATACAACTTCAATGATGTTTACAGAACCAAAGTGTGAGTAGTTCTACGTATACCTCTCGTTCTACTATCTGGGTTTTATGGGTATTGCAAAGAATGATTCATCATATGGCACAAGAATCTTGACCAATCGAGCAAATTGTGATTCCAGAATTTTGGTTTTGGTTATCATGTGAATCAAAATGCAAATGGCAGACGTGCCAACCACGAGCAAAGACAACTCCCGAATTTTCATAGGGGCTGGAGTTCTTGCTCTGGTACGGCAACATTGACAGGCTTGTAGGGATTGACTGTTTGTTGGCGACGTTTCCACATAAACCAAAATCCAACAACTGCTAGTGCAATAACTAGAATTCCTAACATTGATAGAATCACCAGATAACTCCGCTGCCACCATGACCTGTTGAATTTTGGGAAGAACAAGATATTACAAAAGAGGCTACTTATGATACTGTGATCTGTATATAGATAGCTAATTCGTTATCTATATGCCAACATTCATGTGGGAGATTCTGTTTAGATTCTTGTATAGAATGGGAAATCATCACAAAAGAAATAATGTGATCTCAGACAAAAAAGACCTTAGAAAGTAAAAATAATATAACGTACCGTTTGTCCTTAGTCTCAACATTCCATCCAAGCAACTCATAAGTTCCAAACATAACAGGAAACTTCAAATGATGTTCGGAAAGCTTGGAAATTATACCCTGCAGGCAGAACAGATCATCAAGCTTGCAAACAGTTATAAACCTCGGCAATGGCACAGTCACTAACTGCAATTCATCAGGGCAAACTTACCACCGCAGTTGTATTAGAAATACTGTCAGTAGAACCTGCAGGAAATATGGCCCATCTAACGAGGGAGTCGTTTCCACTGGTAGTAAATTTCAACAAATGGACCTGAAACCATCAATTCGAAATTGACAACTTAAGGTTAAGGTGGACTTAAACATCATAAAACTTCATTATATACAGATATGAACTTGAACTGTTAGTAAGAAATTATAAAGCAAATATCAATTGAATGTTCGCATATGGTTTTTTGCCAGACCTGTGATGTATTAACTTCTAATTCCTGAGCTATAAATTCAGCTAGTTCTGTGATGTGGGGCTTCAGATCAGAGTAGCTGATGTTCAATGACATGTCAAATGTTATTTTTCCAATTTTCTGTTCCCCTGTTCATCAAGGTTAATAAGTATTATAATTCTGTCTTAACACAAAACAAAAAAGAGGTTGCACACAGACGTACTTTCATTTATGAAAACAGTGCAGCACAAAATCACAAAAAAAATATAAAGATAATGAGAAATAATTAACAGACTGGTGCAAAAGTAGAACTGAAGTAGAGAAGAGCGTCCACAAAAATATAATTTTCATTTTAATCTCGTTTTATAATGTATCTCCATTTTCGCAATTTGATTTGGGTAAATGGAAAAGACACCTAATAACTTTGATTAAACTGCTATAACAACTACAGTATGTTATAAATAAAAGTTTACTTTAAGGTCAAGTGACAGATGAATCATCCACATCTGCGAAAAGAGACTCAGAATAGTTTAGAACCAATGTAGCATAAAAACCTACTCAAAAGGTCGCAAGTTTACACTACCTGGAAGTGCATAAGATGGTGCTCCATTTGGAGCTAATGTAGGCATTCCTTCTGTAGTTGAATTCTTTTCATCTGAAGCAGGAGGCATTGGCCGAGGCGAAACAGATTCGTTAAGTCTTTCCCACAACTCTGAACAATTAGTTTTCCAGAAACCAATCTTGGAATGCTCACGGTCATACGTTACAAGAGTATTGCGGACAACAATTCCTATCAAGAAAATGATTTTTGCATGACAAAATTAATTAAAAGTACTGTAAAACCTAAACGAGACAAATTTGATACCATTACATGAAACAGGCAACACATGTACACACACACACACACACATACAAGTGGGATGGAGAACTATGGACCTTTCTAAAGCATATACCTCCAAGAAGAGTAGTTGGATCCTTTCCGTTTTGAAAAATCCCCAGGCAGTATGCACCCGGGACCTTTGAATGCTTCATAATTGATAATAATACAACACAGCAGAAAAACAAATAATTAGTGACAAAACCAATGGAAAAAGCACAAAGTTCTATAATAAAAATTACAAATCGTGTTTACATTTCCAAAAAACAACTATATTCAGAGAGGTACAGAGCTTAAACTTCAATCACTTACCCTGAATAAATAATTTTCAGGAGATAGTGTCAGCTTCTGCCCATTGCCAAATACCATGTCAACTGCTGGAAAGGTGTCTGATGGGTAGGAGATATCACTGAACCAACATTGAGAAATCATTAGAAAGAAACTTGAGCATTTAATGGTTGGACCTTACACACAATTTATTTGCACATTTAAGCAAATAAAAATTTAAATCCGCCTGTGTAAGTTTATCTTACATTACCGGTCCCAAGCCTGGATAAAGGAGGAGGGGGAGGGCGTCAAGTAGTCGACAGCCGGCACTCCTAGTTTACGTCGAATTCTTATGGAAATGAATCTAGAACGAAATCGCGCTAAAGCTAGGGCGTCACCCGTAAGTGGCGCGCTGTGTGGCCCGAGCATAATGATAAGTGAGCAAGGGTCACTGTATCTCCATCGGCACCTGGATGCAGTGTTAAATGAGCAAGAGGGCCATAGAAACTTCTTCTCGAACGACTCCACTCAAAGTTGTTTGGGAGCATATGCTCCTATCAACTTTACACATGACACACAAAAGAAGTACTTTGATCCTATTAGACGGGGGAGGTTGAAGAAGCTAGGACAGAAGGGTAGAGTTCAAGAGAGTAGAATGCGTTTAGGAACGTCGAATATAGGAACCCTAACGGGAAAATCTATGGAAGTAGTGGAAGTTATGGTGAGGAGAAGGATAAATATTATGTGCCTACAAGAAACTAAGTGGGTTGGTCTTAAGGCAAAGGATCTAGAAAACTCAGGGTTTAAACTCTGGTATTCGGGCACAAATAGAACGAGAAACGGTGTTGGCATCATCGTGGACAAGACCTTGACACAAGATGTTGTAAATGTTAAGAGGGTAGGAGATAGAATCATGACAATCAAGATTGTAATAGGACAAGAACTCATCAATGTGATTAGTGCGTACGCACCTCAAGTAGGGTTGGATACGAGTTCGAAGGAGAAATTTTGGGAAGACCTTGGAGACTTGGTGCAAGGAATTGCTCAGACGGAGAAGTTATTTATAGGAGGAGATTTAAATGGACACGTGGGCAAGGAGACAGGCAACTATGGAGGTTTTCATGGTGGCCATGGTTTTGGGGAGAGAAACGAGGATGGGGAAGCTATCTTGGATTTTGCAATGGCATGGTCTCTTCTTAGCCAACACCTTCTTTAAGAAGAGAGAAGAACATGTGATCACCTACAAGAGTGGGTCGTCAAAAACACAAATAGATTTTCTTCTAATGAGGAAAGGGGATCGTATAACTTGTAAGGATTGCAAAGTTATACCGGGAGAGAGCTTGGCTAATCAACATCGCTTGTTGGTGATGGATGTACATATCAAAAGAGTGAGAAAAAAGAACAAGACTTGGAAGTGCCCAAGGACTAGATGGTGGAATCTAAAAGGAGAAAAACAAGCCATTTTCAAAGAGAAAGTAATCACCCAGTGTGTGTGGGATAGAGAGGGGGAAGATAGCCAAAGGTGGGATTCCATGGCTAGTTGTATCCGAAAAGTAGCAAAAGAGGTATTAGGAGAGTCCAAGGGCTTTGCTCCACACCAAAAGGAATCTTGGTGGTGGAATGAGGAGGTACAAACAAAGGTGAAGGCTAAGAAGGAATGTTGTAAAGCCTTATACAAGGATAGGACCGATGAAAATGGTGAAAGGTATAGAAGAGCGAAGCAAGAGGCGAAGAAAGCTGTGAGAGAAGCTAAGTTAGTGGCTTATGATGATATGTATAAGCGACTAGATACCAAAGAAGGAGAGTTGGATATCTATAAACTAGCTAGAGCAAGGGAAAAGAAGACAAGGGACCTAAACCAAGTGAGGTGCATCAAGGATGAGGATGGAAAGGTTCTTGCTACAGAGAACGCGATCAAGACAGATGGAGAGGTTATTTTCATAATCTTTCAATGAAGGACATGAAAGGAGTACTTCTTTAGGGGAGTTGAGTAACTCAGAAGAGTGTAGAAACTACTCATTTTATAGTCGAATCAGGAAGGAAGAAGTGGTTGTAGCTTTGAAGAAGATGAAGCATAGAAAAGCAGTGGGCTCAGATGATATACCGATCGAAGTGTGGAAAGTCTTGAGAGAGACAAGTATAGCATGGCTCACTGACCTTTTCAATAGGATTTTGAAAACAAAGAAGATGCCAAATGAGTGGCGAAAGAGCACTTTGGTGCCTATCTACAAGAATAAGGGCGACGTACAAAATTGCATGAACTATAGGGGTATTAAGCTAATGAGTCATACAATGAAGCTCTGGGAGAGAGTCATTGAGCATAGATTGAGACAAGAGACACGGGTTTTGGACAACCAATTCGGGTTCATGCCAGGGCGCTCAACCATGGAGGCAATCTATCTCTTACGAAGATTGATGGAAAGATATAGAGGGGAAAAAGGATTTACACATGGTCTTTATAGATTTGGAAAAAGCGTATGATAGGGTCCCAAGAGACATTCTCTAGAGGATTTTGGAGAAGAAAGGAGTACGAGTGGCATATATCCAAGCTATAAAGGATATGTATGAAGGAGCAAAGACTGCCGTAAGAACTCATGAAGGACAAACCGAAAGCTTCCCCATAACTATAGGATTACATTAAGGCTCATCCTTAAGTCCTTACCTTTTTGCGTTGGTAATGGATGAGTTAACAGGACATATTCAATATGATATTCCTTGGTGTATGCTTTTAACAGACGATATATTGTTGATGGATGAAACTCAGGAAGGGGTAAATGTTAAGCTTAACTTTTGGAGAGAAATGTTGGAATCTAAAGGTCTTCGCCTAAGCCGATCAAAGACAGAATATATGGAGTGCAAGTTCAGTGCAAATGGAGGCCAAAATGAGTTAGGGATGAGGATCGGAGATCAGGAAATACCAAAGAGCGACTGCTTTCGCTACCTAGGATCTATCTTGCAAAAGAACGGAGAATTAGATGGATATCTCAACCATAGAATACAAGTTGGATGGATGAAGTGAAAGAGTGCATTCGGCTTGTTGTGTGACCGCCGTATGCCACTGAAGCTCAAGGGAAAATTTTATAGGACGGCAATAAGGCCGGCGATGCTGTATGGCACAGAATGTTGGGCGGTGAAGCATTAACACGTACACAAAATGGGTGTAGCAGAGATGAGGATGCTTCGTTGAATGTGTGGGCACACGAGAAAGGATAAGATTAGGAATGAGAATGTCCGAGGTAAAGTAGGAGTAGCCGAAATTGTAGGAAAGCTGAGAGAAAATCGGTTACGGTGGTTTGGACATGTGCAAAGAAGGCCTACTGACGCTCCGGTTAGAAGATGCGACTACGGGATAGAGGTTCAAGGCCGAAGGGGTAGAGGAAGACCTAGGAAAACTTTGGAAGAGACTCTAAGAAAAGACTTAGAGTACTTGGATCTAACGGAGGACATGACACAGGATCGAGCACAATGACGTTCTAAGATTCATATAGCCGACCCCACTCAGTGACTTGGATTTTTCAAGTCTCCAACTGAGAAGTTTTCCTCATTCGAGAAATTAAGGGAATACTACCTCAACCTATATGCTTCACTCACAAAGCTTCAACATACAAGCTTCAACAAAAGAAAAATTCAAAGAACTTAGTGAAAAAGGCTTTGATGTATTTAACACAATACGTTGAAATGAAGCAAAGCTTATTTATTGATATCTCCGATAAGTTACAAATATGTACATATACATGGGTCAAAATAAACAAACAAGAGGGGGCATTCACAAAGGTTGTTTAGGAGAAGTCTCAGCAGTCGGTAGAGCCCCAGAAAGAGAAGGCACTGGAGGGTGATCACTCGAAGTCTCAGTACTGAACAGAACCCTAGAAGGAAGAGGCATCGGAGGCTGATCATTTGGAGCTTCATTACGTGGTACAGCCCCAGAAGATGAAGGCAATAAATGCCTTTAGAACAAACCCACAAACCTCTGATGATCAAGTAAAATCAGACCATCAGATTCCTTCATCTGGTCAAGCTTCCTCTTCATGTTTGTAGCATAGTCATGTGCGAGCCTGTGCAACTGTTTATTCTCATGCTTGAGCCCTCTAATCTCCTGCTTAAGACTCATCACTTCAGCCGCCAATGATTCAACTTGGCGGGTTCGAGCAAATAGGCGTTGGGCCATATTCGACACAGAACCTGCACACTGAACACTGAGAGCCAGAGAATCCTTAACAGCCAACTCATCAGACCGTTTGGAAAGAAGTCTGTTATCTTTGGGAGTGAGAATGTTCCTAGCCACCACTGCAGTGGTCATATCATTCTTTATCACGGAATCCCCAACAGTAAGAGGACCAGTAGGGGATAAGAAGGATAGGCGCCATATGTTGTCTGGAGAAGGCGCGGCTGCCTCTTCACCAAGGTTCAAGTCAAAACGACGGTCGGAAGGGCCAGACATTTTCAAACGTGTTGAAGAGAGAAGAGGTCGGACAAATCAAGATCTTATAAGTGCAAGAAGGGAGCTTCTACTGGTGGAGATTCACGTGTGCTTTGGAACTTAATGCCAGCCTCTATAAAAATCTGCACTCAACGGAGATTTAGAAATCGAAGAGGTGCCTACTCAGAAATCGAAGAGGCGTTTGCTTTCTCAAAAGTTGGGCTGCTCAGAGACCACGAGGGCTGATCTCAGAGATCGAAGAGACGTTTGCTTTCTCAAAAGCTGGGCTGCTTAAAGACCACGACGGCCGATCTCAAAAATCGAAAAAGCGCTTGCTTTCTCAAAAGCTGGGCTGCTCAAAGACCACGAGGGCCGATCTCAAAAATCAAAGAGGCACCTGCTTTCTCAGCCTTGTTAGCACCTGTCACATGCACACTCAGCTTTGCGGAAATTACGGGCAATCTGTCGAAGATTTCTGGTGAAGTAGAAAGCACGTGAATCTTACTGTTCAATCATCCACTTTCCACACGCAACATCAGCTCATGGGTACCACAGATAACTTTGCCAAAGATCTCTAACAAAGTTTAGACACGTGAAGCTTGCAGCTCCCACTACATCGCTATGACCAAGAAGGGTAAAAGAATAGCAGCTCCCCGACAAGATAGCTTGTTCGAAAACCGAAGAGGCATCGCTTTCTCAACTTCGAGAGCCAGATCTCCTTGGATAAAGCTTGTCTGTAATCTTCAAACGCAACATCAGCTTTCCAGATACCACAGACCACTTTTTCAAAGTGCTCTGACAGAGTTAAAACACGTGAAGCTGGCAGCTCCCACTACAGTGCTATGACCAAGAAGGGTAAAGGAATAGTATTAGTACTTGTTAGGGACTGACTGCCTGGAACCCCTTACCTGATTACTTACTTGGCATTGCTCTCGAGTACCCATCTTCAACATCTTATGCTTCCAGAGAAGATATCACATTTGCCTGAGGAACAGATAGGGCAAGTGAGAAGGATACAAGGAAGCATGTGGAGACAAGCATAACAGAACACGTGTCGATACTTCCACTACTTTGTCAACAGCAAAATTATCACATATCAGCAGGGTCGAACGTACTCTAGATTTGATGGACTTGTTTTGACCCTCAAATTCTTCAGTCGGCCTTATACTCTGGAGGTAACCAGAAAACCCTTCAGCCCAATTCAAGAATAAGCTTGTGGAAAGTTACTTCTTCAAAAGCAAAAGTATCTCATATCATTTCTTCTCATTTTCTTTTCTTTATCCTTCATGCTGCCTGCAAGATAAGGAGAATGAAAACAATCAGCCGGAACTCGAAATCAAACTTCTGATCTGGGACTGATTGCTTGGAGCTCTGATTGCTTACCTTGTCTGTCACCTCTTTCAGCAGATCCCCTAGCTCGGCGACTTGGGGGACTCCTACTACATGGTTTGTATCGCGCTTGACCAAGCCTGAAATTACAAGCTTCAAGTGAAATTGATACATTAACTTGTGCATCTCCACCAGTTAAAGATACCACCCCTGGACGGAGGAAGAGTACTTCCAGAGAAGATGCCACATCTACCTATGAGACAGATAAGGCAAGTGAAGACGATACCACACTTCGATACTTAGAAGTTTCGTGATTACTCAGCGGCTTGGATCTTGCAAGTCCCCAACCGAGGAGCTTCCTCTCCAACCAGGAGGCCAATCACAGAGCGACACGTGTCGACATCAGAAGCAAATCATAGCGCGACACGTGTCAACATCGAAAGCCAATCACAACACGACACGTGTCAATGTCAGAATAAGGCTAGAAACTCTCTTCTATTAAAGGAGATCATTCTCCCAAAATATTTCCTAATGTCATTTGTACTAAATCATTCACTTGTACCCACTAAAGGAGAGCTTGAACCTATGTACTTGTGTAAACCCTTCACAATTAATGAGAACTCCTCTACTCCGTGGACGTAGCCAATCTGGGTGAACCACGTACATCTTGTGTTGCTCTCCTGTCTCTATCCTTTTACATACTTATCCACACTAATGACCGGAGCAATCTAGCGAATGTCACAAACTTAATACTTTCTGTTGTACCAAAGTCCTCACTGATTTTGTGCATCAACAATCCTTAAGTCCTTACCTTTTTGCATTGGTAATGGATGAGTTAACAGGACATATTCAAGATGTTATTCCTTGGTGTATGCTTTTCGCAGACGATACAGGGTTGATAGATGAAACTCAGGAAGGGGTAAATGCGAAGCTTAACCTTTGGAGAGAAGTGTTGGAATCTAAAGGTCTTCGCCTAAGCCGATCAAAGACAAAATATATGGAATACAAGCTGGATGGATGAAGTGGAAGAGTGCATCCGGCGGGTTGTGTGACCGTCGTATGCCACTGAAGCTCAAGGGAAAATTTTATAGGACGACAATAAGGTCGGCGATGCTATATGGCACAGAATGTTGGGCGGTGAAGCATCAACACGTACACAAAATGGGTGTAGCGGAGATGAGGATGCTTTGTTGGAGGTGTGGGCTCACGAGAAAGGATAAGATTAGGAATGAGTGGGTTGGACATGTGCAAAGAAGGCCTACTGACGCTCCAGTTCGAAGATGTGACTACGGGACAGAGGTTCAGGGCCGAAGGGGTAGAGGAAGACCTAGGACAACTTTGGAAGAGACCCTAAGAAAAGACTTAGAGTACTTGGATCTAACGGAGGACATGACACAAAATCGAGCGCCATGGCGTTCTAGGATTCACATAGCCGACCCCACTTAGTGGGAAAAGGCTTTTGTTGTTGTTGTTGTATTTAAGCAAATAAAAATTTGAAAATGTTGATTTTACATTTGTGGCCTCAATACAGTTTCTTATAATTTGGTTTTCACTAGAAAAGGAATTTAAATTATCTGAACCATTTAAACTTGTATACCTTCCAGCAGTTGAAAAACAGATATCCTTATAATTTGGATCAGGGCCACGGATTTGCTCGAGGGAATTAAGCTCTTTCATGATCTGCACACATGCATACCAGGGAGAAAAAGAAGTAAAAACAATAAATTTTGAGACCCTGATAATATTCTGATTGTGCACTCAATGAAAAAAAGAAATTGAATAATACGATGAAATAAATGATAACTAAACCTGCATGCAGCCAGCCAAAAATAAACAGGAAGGAATTTTCAGATAAACCAAAGTGTTTCATATGCTATGATTCATTTCAAATGAGGAAGTGCAAGTATTCCACCCTAACTACAATGAAGTGTATAATGTAATTTCTAGTTGATTTAATTATTTCCATTAACTCAGACCAGATCGTCCTTTCTGTCAGTTCTAGTTGACCAAATGCTCATTTACTTAAAATTCAAAAAGTGAATTTTCAATCATTATCAATTAGAAATAAATGCAAGGTATCATCTAAAAGATTGAGTATTAGTAAAAATATTGTATTATATGGTCTTGTATGAAGATTAAGTTAAAATTTAATCTAAAGGGCAGAAAAATCTTACAGCATCCTTAAATGCAAGAAATGCTGCTTCTGGTAGGTATGCATATGTTGTACCACTGTCCAAGACTGTTCCATGTTTTCCATCAAAGACATTTGGATTCAAAGGCAATCGCTTTCCCGCGACATGCATCTCCTTCAAATCAATATTGTAGTATGGACTGTTGCCATCCCGAAACTAGAGTAAATGTGTGAGATGTATAGATTGTAGTTTTTAGGAAATTGGACATTTTGCAATCTATGTAAGATAAATTTTTCAAAACCACACACCTTCGTACTGGGTTTGAATGAGTGAAGACCATGTCTGATGGGGCTGAAAAACCACCAAGAACCATTGCACCTCCACCAATGTCCATTCCACCATAACATAATGAGAAAGAATCACTTATTACACTTTTATCAACTAGTTGGTCAACCACACTAAGATCACCACGGCCCAATCCCATTATGCCATCAGCAGGCTGGCTGTAAAGGTCACCAGTTTCAAAATTTTCACAACCGAAAACTGCACGTTGAGGTGGTAGTTCACTTTGATTGCCAAATGATATAAGATCCTCACCAAGCACCCCACTGCTACTACTCATTTCGGCATATTGCCTCTCGTAAATACAATTCACCCTCTGATTATCACAATTGCAATCTATGTTGCATTTGACAGCTTGGTAAGTGTTCGAGGCTTCTGGATCAAATTTGGGGTCCTGATGGAAAATTAAAAACAGAACATTAACAGAGTTTAAAACCTGAAATCTATCGAGTTTCCCCTGCATACAAAAGGTACTAAGTATTCAAGAAACTTTTACTAAACAGAAATAAGCAACTTCAATGTTGTTAATCTGACTATTGTATTTGGTTATAGAGTGATCATGATCGACTGCCTTCACCCAAAAATAGTCCGCTGAGTCTTCGGTCTAGTTTTTCCGTGTGATTATGTAATATCTTGGGTTATGTTTCTTAGCCTTAACAAGGTGAGCATCATTTACATTAGCCTCATTACTCAGTGTAAGACTAAGATCTGATGAGAGATTCACAATGTAGCTAGCTGCAACTAACGGCTTTGAAATCAACAGAAGACCCTACATCAACATTCCTATTTCGCATCACTACATGAACGTTTCCAGAGTAGAGAAAATTCAGTAGTGGATGAAGAAATTACCTGGTGTCTGCCGCACTGTTTGCAAGAAGAGCAAGGTACATAAGTCACAGTGCTCCCGGTATCCACAATTAGAGCAAACTTCTGCGGAGGCGTTCCGATCCAGAGCCGCGTTGTATAGTACCTGTCTCCGCCGCCACCACCACACAAATTTCAATCCCAATCCAAAAATTACCGATCATAAACTCAAACCGAAAATTAAAAGGAGAAATGTAGCGTACCCGTTGCGGAGGAGATCGTCGTAGAGGCTCATGCGGGCATTGGGCCGGCTGAGGGACTCCGATCTCCCGAGTAGGCGCCGAGGATTGGATAACGATGAGGTCCGGGACGACGAATTGGGAGTGAAGTGGTAGAGAGGTAAGACCATGGCTGGGAGTGAGTGGAGAAGGGGGGCGGGGCTGCTGGGATTGGGCGAGACCAGACACCAAAGCTCCATCTCTAAGAAGAATAGGAGGAGGACGGCGGAGGTGGGGAGGTGGAGCGGTGTTGCTACCATTGGTGCAGCTGGAAAATGAGGAGTGGTGGCGGAGATGCCAGATCAGAAATCGAGTGGAAAGAAGAGAGCTTTTTGAGAAGGGAGGGAAGAGGGAAGCCAACGTGGTCGTGCACAACACCAAATTTCGTTTTTTCAGTTTCTGACCAAATTAAGATTACTCACATAAAAAAAGAGAATTTTTATTTTGTTTGTTAGTAATTTTTTAATTTATGTTTGTTTGAGTTGGACACTTAAACCGAAGTTGATTGATCAACGACTTTTTCTGGAATATATATATATATATATATGAAAAGATACTCATGAGCGAAAATATCCTATTTTATATTGTAGCGATATTATAATGTAGTTTAAATCCCATTAACAAATTTGAGGAATTGACTACAATATGTATTAGATACTTCCCAAATCACCGAGTAGCGATTAACTATAATCAAGGAGAGCTCTCCATTTCTCCAGCTCGAAGGCCACTTGCTCAAGGACATGGGGCAACACTGCAACAACATTTGCAGTGTTCCACATCGACCACGGACAAGAATGGCGACTCTCCTCACGTATAAGAGGAGACTCTTTCCCATAATCAAGCTCTCTTGAATCTTGGGACCCCTAATCCAAGCTTAGTCTTGTACTTATACTTAAATCATTGTAACATGTAAACACTACATTATTAACAAGAACTTATATACCCTCGTGGATGTAACTCTAAGTTGAATGATTACGTACATCTCATGTATACTTCTTTACCCTTACCTTTTTATATATCACCATCACTTAACAACTAAAGCACCCTCGCAAAGATCACTTTACTAACCTTTGCGTTGACTCAAGGTCCACCTCAATATCTAGCATTCTCTTGTTACTTAAACACCACAAAATCTTTGTTATTAGTGAACCACGGTGACGGTGATCAAAACAACCAACAAACAAAGAAAGTTTGAACTTACAAAAGAAAACATGTACACAGGAAAGGTGAATTTGGAAAAGAAAAGGACACATGGCGACGTGTATTAAATTTTGGAATTAAAAAAAGTAGGGATTTTTAAAATCCCACAAAAAGTTGGATGTTAATCTCATTAAATGGGGTAATATTAAGAAGACTAAATTTATAGATAAAATTTTGAAAGCTAAAAAATATAAAAATTGATGATTGATTTATTATTTAAACGTTGATAAACATGTTCATTCTTATTGGAGATACTTCATTTAATTTGCAAATTTAGTTTATTAGCATTACCTCATAAAATAATATCAAAGTTAAAAAGACAAGTGTGATTGTGTATTAAATTTTGGACTTGAATCAAAAGCTAAAAACAAAGCAAGTAACCCTCGACTACAATGGTGGAGAGCAGTGTTGTCTTTGCACCACAGCATGGCGTGACCGTGGGATTGAACCCCGTCAGTTCCCTAATTTAATATCTAATTTATTTTAATTAGTTTTTTTTTTTTTTTTTTTTTTTTTTTTTGTAAATGAAAAATGTTAAATGTTGATTTCCCACTTAATTTTTATAGTTTATTTGTTTATTTTTTAACGAAAGGTACGATATTCATTAAGATGCGAAAAACCATACAAAGTGAGGATAGGGTGCATACATAGGCTTCGATAAAAATCTTGCCGCGACTTTCGGCCCAGTCAAAGAAAAAAAGAACGTCCCGCACAAACAAACTAAAGTTAGCCATCCTCACATACCAAATCAAATAATACATTTTTATTTAAAAAATCTTCAAATAGCGCATCCAAAATTAATCCCGAAGGTTCGTCACGCCACACAATCTCCTAAGCACACCCTAATCCAGCACGTGCAAGTCTGTGAGCAACTTGATGTGCCTCCCTTCTAATATGGCATGGCTTCGCATGAGAAAAATCTTTGAAGAAAGACCAAATATCATTAATTATAGGACCTAGAGGAGATGTATCTTCTCCTTGGCCATTCATGGCTGCGATGGTGATGACTGAATCTCCTTCGAAGATACGATTATACCGATGCCAAATTAAAACATACCAACGCAGATATGATATGTACCCATGTCAATTTGAAATGTACAAATATATCGTCTAGAAATGTACTTTTGATGCTAATATGAAATGTATCCATGCCAACTTAAAACTTACCAACATATCGGCTAGAAACGTCTCAATACTAAATGGAAACATACACAATACCGTCTACCACTAGAATCTATTTTCCAAATGTACCATAGTACGAATACTCAAATCAAGAGGTTTGCATAAAATGAAAATAGAAAGGGAATGAACATGACTCACAAAGGAGGACGGAAGAGTATCAACTGACAGCAAACAAATGGCACAAAAAGATTGTGGAATGTTCATGAAAGAAGATGACATAAAAATATATATCACGTTAGAAGCATAAATAAATCAAATTTGATATGTTTTAGATTTTTAAAACATACGTCTACTAGATTCTAGAAGATTTGGATAATTATTAACTAATTGGTACATTATATATGGCAAATTGTGTAATTTTATTTTAAAAATGCTGTAAGAAAAGTTTAATAAAAATTCTAAAAAATAGATGTTTAATCTAACAAATAGAACAACGAAGTATTTAAATCTAAACGCCTTCATATATTAAAATTTGGCAGCAAATAATTCTCGCGGGTCAAGTAATTAAAGGCCCAGGTTACGCCAGATTCTAGCAGAAAAAGAAGTATATATTCTAGGGTTTAAACTCCACCCTCAAATATAACAATAGGAGAGTAGGAAAGTTGTTTCAGGGGTACAAAATCTAGATAGCAATGCCGTCCTTACGTCGTATCTCATGGCAATCCGACGGAGCGTGAAACTGTCTTCCTCCTTCAACACGCGACCTCCTTCTCCTCCTCTTTTACCCTCCTCTATTCACAACAGCAGCATACAAACTCTTACCACCACTGCGGCTCCTCCGGCAACAAAAACGGAGCTCCAAAATCCATAAGCATCCAAACCGACGTCGGATTAAGAATCACAAAGCAGTTGTTTCTCACTCAAGTCCAAGTCCACCGCCGACCTCAACTCCCTTGCCTCTGATATCGTCCCTCTGGTCTTTGCTGACCGATCTCCCAGAGGCGGGCCTTGTTTGTCCTTTGTCAATGGCCTCTGGGTGGACTAGTCAACCCCTCTCAAGCCTTGTTTCAAAGAGGTGGTGGACAGTTTTTACAAGGCGGCTCGAAAAGAAGTCGATTTCCAGACCAATGCCGAAGAAGTGAGAATCAAAGTGAATTTGTGGGCCAAAAAGGAAATTAGGGGACTGATCACAGAGGTTCTTCCTTTTGGATCGGTTAACAACATAACGAGGCTCATCTTTGGGAATGCATTGTACTTCAAAGGAGTTTGGGATTACCAGTTTAATGCATCAAAAACAAAGAAGTACGACTTCTACCGTCTCAATGGCAAACCATCGGTTAAGGCACCTTTCATGACCAACTATCAGCACCAATATGTTAAAGCCCTTGACGGCTTAAAAGTCTTAAAACTCCTATACCAAAAGGGAGATTCTCCATGTGCTTGTTTCTTCCGCATGAAAAAGATGGGCTGCCAGCTTTGGTTGAGAGGGTTTGTACTGAGCCCGGCTTCTTGGATCACCATCTTCCGAACACAAGAGTTAGAGTGGGTGACTTCAGAATTCCAAAGTTTAAGATTACTTCCAGTTTTGAAGCTTCCCAAGTTCTCAAGGAATTAGGGCTGGTGTTGCCTTTCGAAGTTGATCCATATAATGGAGGTAATTTGACAGAGATGGTGGACTTACCTCCGGGTGAGGTCCCCTTGGTTTCAAGTTTATTTCATAAATCCTTCATCGAAGTTAATGAAAATGGATATTCATAAATCCTTCATCGAAGTTAATGAAAATGGAGCGGAAGCTGCCGCCGTTACTTTCTCCTCAAAGGTGGCTGGGTCATGCCGCCCTTGTCATCGTCCAAAGCCGATAGAGACTTTGTGGCAGATCACCCGCTTCGAGTCTGACTGTTACTGGAGGAGCGACGATGCTGTTCCTGTCGATTCAGTTCTGATTTACCCGCTGAAAATAAGTTGTTTAAATTTGAAGATCCTTATTTAATCTAATTTCATCGTCGATACAGAAGTTAGTTTGGGGGTGGATTAATCTTTAACATGCATTGCAAATTTGCAATAGCTTGTTTCTAACTTTCTGCATTTCAATCAAACAAGCATAATACTATATTCTATATATAGATTTCGAATATACAATGGGCAATCATGACTTTGAATAAGCACTTTTGCTGAAAGCACTTTTATTTGAAGCATAATAAAAAAATTATGAGACATCTAACTGCTTGAAAAATATAACCATTTTGTTCTTTAGTACAAAAGAAACATAGCGCTTATGCTTCTAAATCAGCAACGTACTGAGTATATGCAGTCCGACAACCTTTGAGGTGCGTCGATTACTAATACAGCGCGATTCTTTTGCATCTGAAGTCAGCATTGGTGATTACTCAGTTCACTGTATTTGCGATCTCCTTGATCCACACAAACTTGATACGTTGATGTCCCGCAACACAAGGTAAACTATAAATGCTACATACCCGGCAGTAAAAGCAAACACTCCGACACTAAACAACCACCCAGTCACTTCAGAGGCGAAGAAGTCGAACAGAAGGTATCCGTTGATTACCATCACTAGGGCCGCCACAAGCCATGCAACCATCTTCATAAAATAAAAATATGTGAGCATTCTAATGCATGAACAATATAAAAACAAAATTAAAAGTCAAAGAAAAGGGAAGAACGGCTTGAACACATAATTCACGGTGTTTTCATTTAATAAGGAACTGAAAACTGCCTCAGCACAATAAGAAACTGATATATCAAGCAACTATTCACCTCAAATGTAATATTTCCTTTGATTCTTGAGCAAATAGATCCACTCACTAATAAAGTTTATCTAACACGAGGGCAAGAAAGAGTAATCTAGATTCCATTTTCAGCTAGACTATGAAATTCAATGCAGGGAGACGGTTTCTTTTCTCAAAACACTAAGCGAAAAGTGGCATTACAAAAAACTAAACGAAAAGCTTGAATGCTGGAGCAACTACCAAATTAGTGGTCTAAAATGCTGTTCTATCGTCAAATCTGCAGCAAATAGTCATCATTTATCTTAAAATTAGACTACATTGACTGTCACCATAGTATC